AAGTTATTTGGAATACGGTCGAAAAGCACAGAAACCTAAGAGTGCATAATTTTCGTATTGATTGCAATTCAGTCACGTATGACGAAAGTTTTTCTAAAACATATCATGGTGGGTTAAAAGATTTGGAATAGAACCCACGAGTCATACAGCATATTTGTTGTCCAGGGAAGGATGTTAATCATTTTCCTTGCATTGTAAATTGTTACTCTACCTATATAGAAAAAGTCAAGGATTTGGCTAAAAGCAATGAAGCATTCTATTTTAAACCGAATAATAATATGAGACTGTTGTCGAGTATTACAATTTGGTTTTGGGCATTAATAGTCTGAATAAAATTCTACTTGATTTATGCGAAAGTGCCGGCGTGAGTCGTAAGACGTCTCATTGCTTAAGAGTAACTTGTGAAACTCGATTGTTTCAGTCGGAGGTCGAAGAAAAGCTGTTTAGAGAACGTACCGGTCATAGGTCGAACGCTTTGTTGGCGTATGAAAAGGAGAGTTCTGAGCAAAATCGTAAAGTTACTAAGATCTTAGGCCCTCCTGAAGTGATTGTCCATGACGTAATTGAGCTAGAGGACGACATTCCTCAATTAAATTCATTGAGAAACAGCGATTCAGACCTGTTTGATTTTGACGTTCCTGATGAAATTGTTGAAATATTAGCTACTATGGGTTTGCCTGGGAATAACGAAATTACAGAAACTTCAACTAGTTCTGCAACGGGTTCTGGTGCAACGTTGTCAGGCGGTGTATTTAATAACTGTTCAGTTTACTTTGGAAAAATGTAGATATTTAGTGTGTTATAAGCTGCTATAGGCTTAATTTTGTTTACAAGGTATACTAAGACAAGTGTAATGATTAATGTTGTGTGTTAATAAACGATATACTAGTGTGCTATATATTTATGTACGTTGTGGTTTCCAAAGGTGATTAGTTTTTTGAATTTTTAATTAACGTGAAATTTTATATAAAATTTCACGTTGATTAGCATTTTCATTGTTTCAATGAATAACCCCATATTTCTCCTGAGACAGAATTCAAATACACTCCCCTGGCTTTTAAAAAGAAAGATTTTACCACGTATAAAACGCATACACGTAAATAAATGAAGAAAACCGATTGGCTTATTTGCGTAATGAATAATAATGAGTTTTTGAAATACTATTTAAAACTTTCAGACACATATATATAAAACATATAAGGAAAGGATTAAGGCCATAACTTGTTGCCGACCATGATTGCAGCTTAAGCTTCAAGACTTAGACTGTGCTAGAATATATACACACAAGAATATGTAATAGAACATACAAATACGATTCTGGCATTCTGCATGAATAGTTAGGTCTAAACTTGTATCAATTCTATCCAAGGAAAGATATTTGGCTGACGGAGATCAGCCTGGTTTTGCGACCTACAGTAGCCGCTCAAATAAGCAGCCCCGAAATTGGAATAGCTAGGTGGAAGCAAAGCTGTGAGTTCAAAATATATTTAACAGCATTAATGTTTTGTTGTCCAGTTGACAAAGTAGGTTTGCATGACGATAAAATATACAATATTATTGTATGTGGAAACACCACATAAATTTTTTATTGCAAAACTTTCGATCTGTAAGCACGGGACTTCGTCGAGCTTATGGATCGAAAGCTTTCCAGTAATAAATTCACATGGTGTTCCCACTTACAATAATATTATACTTCGTGTTGTTATGCTGGGTTCTTTCCAGCTTGACAGTAAATAAGTAGTTTGTTTTGTTGTGTAACCTGTTAGAAATAAGTAAAAATACACGAGTCCATTGTTCCACAATGCACCCTACCTTATTATTTTACTCTGTTTAATGCCAGTTGCGCTAAATGTGATCAACGACATGCTGTGCTCAGATTCTTGTACTCTGTCCGGAATGGGGAAACAGTGGCGGAAATTCACTTTTTCCGGTGGGGGGCTAAGCCTTTTAATTTCCGAAAAACACCCCCCCCCCCATTTGCACTCGAAAAGGCTGTTTTTAGCCCTTTTATAGGTCAAAATTTCCGAAAATTCGTCATTTTCCACGAAGGTGGGGGGCCGCCCCCCCCCCCCGAGATTTCCGCCACTGTGGGGAAAGCCACTTACAAAGAAAAAATATTTAACAATTCTGAAGGCATAGTTGTTTCGATCACAGGCTTTCTTGCATGGTAGATGAATTTATGCTTACTATGTACTGAAAGAGTTTAAAGATTCAGATATTTAGTTAGTATGTCATATTTTTATACGCATATATAGCAGTTCAAAATCTAAACAAAGCATGTGTTTACATTGCAGACTTTACGGCATCTTTAATTAAATTTCAGTTCAATTGAAAATTTAAGACATGCGTGGTCATGGTATAAACATTTATTACGAGAATATACAATTCAATAAATTGTATATAAACATTGTTTAGTTTTCAAACTCTAATATAAAAAAAATGGCTCGACACAAATGAGAAACACAGTATTTGAAACAAAGAGCCTGAGAAGCTATAAAACCTAATATTATCCCCATGAAAGGAACACAAATTTGAATTAATAGGGTTATAATATATGCATACTGTATGACTGGTCAGACATCAGCCTTGCTAAAATGGTTAAGCTTCTCACTTCTTTTATAGTAATATTTGCTTGAACAAATTTCAGTATCAATTTATCTAGAATATGTATTATTCATTATATAGAGTATATATCATTTACTTTAGTTACTGTTGACTGTTTTCGGGTTGTTTCCCCCCATTTAAATATATAACTGATCATTTTACTTGATCAAGTACACTCTGTAGGAAATTATGAACTACTTTATGTGGATCTTCATGTGTTCATGTGTTCAATTGGGTTGTTTGTTCCTTTATTGGCCATTATAATGTCTAAGACAAACTCAAAAAATATACACAGAGAACACCTACCTTATTAATTTCTCTGGCACATCATTAATTTAAACTTTATTTCTCATTTTCTATCGATTTTACTTGCAAATAAACTGAAAATCAATCTGACTAGCCATTTCGAAAACCACGTGACTGTGTTTGTTTTTGCAACGAATTTAAAATAACATTGCTCTAATGGTTCTAGATGATAACTCGGCCATGAGCATCGGAGACTGGGGAGCAAAAACGGCATACTCTGAGTGATGTTATTCAATTTCAAAATGGCGCGTGTTTATTTTTGTTCGTCGAAGAAGTGAAAATACAAATGCAATTTGTGAAAAAACTGCGGGCGTACGGAGCGGGAAGTTTTCGGATTTGAATTCAGCATGTTTGCAAATGTTAGTTACCGTGAAAATATTTCAGTTCCACGACATGCTTAATGAAAATCGTTTTCTAGGCATATTTTGAGGTCACGGCAAACGCCCGAAGAAACATTACGGATATATGTCGAAACTCACGAGTGTGACACACATGATTGTGTGACGTACTGCTGAGTGTGACGTAGAATGGACGAAAACAAAGCAAGCGAGCAAGCCTCTGGCTTAGTGCCCACCGCATACGGCGCGGTAGTCACAACAATTAAGCAGCAAAAGGTCTACTAACTACCTAAACATTACAGACAGATTAGCAAAAGCCCTTCGTCGTGAATTAATG